TATGTTGACAAAATATGAAATAGTAGACGCCTTAGCGTCCCATCCTCAAAAGCACTTGATTACCTGTTTAATGATTTCCTGAGAATACAAGTTGTTTGAAAAAGTGTCAACACAAAGGTTGGTGAGTTCATAAGCTTTTGTTTGGTATTATTAAAAGCCTTTCGTTTGTGAAAGTAGTATTTGTGTTAGAAAATCCAATATTTTCCTTAATGTGTAAATGTAGTCTTAAAACCCAAAGACCGAAATGTACAAGTAATTTGTCATATTTATAGTAAAACAATGCAAGTTTAAATCGACATAAACTCGTTAAATTTTAATGAAGTTCCCGTAAATTCCAATGTTTATTAATACTTTATGTGAGTTATTATAACCATGCTATGACCTAGTTGGCCTGAAACGACGTTCTTCAGGCGTCGGAAATGTTATGACATTTGTCACCCCAGACCTGCCGGTCTAGCTGTTGCATGCAGCTTAGGTGTGGGTTTGTCAAACCCAATATAGATCTATACACAAGTATCACGCTCTCCCTCAAGGAGACTCTGGTTACAATACAGGACTTAATGGTAATTTGAAGTAAATGTCTCACAAAGTCATTAACGGAATTACGTGTTATGAAAACTTGGTACCGTATGGCCGTACCTTGCTTAATGAAAATATCCTTTGTATAAATGTACCCTTTTTAAATGTATGTGTTATGTAATGTATCATAAACTATACCTATTATAGTTTATCAACCAAGGGTAGTACGTGGTAATGTATGCAAACTATATTCAAAATAGTTTATTAAATGTTTGAATGTATCGATTGTACTTTGATTATAATCACTTGTTATTCTTTATATTTTATATGACCAAATCCATTTGTAAACTGATGTGTGTCTAAATATTAAGATAAAATGTCATATATTGCAATAACATATAATCACATAAAGATATACACCTTGCTCAACATGTTACAAGGTGAAATGAAATTAACAGCAACTTTTCGTTGAAAAACCGTTTCTGTTACTGTTCTTAGAAAATTTATAGAAAAATCATCAAAGCTCTAAATCCAAATCCGCAAATTTTGAGAGTTTGGAATATGAGTCTAGTTTGTTCGTAAATTTTATCATGATTTTTAGTGATCTCTAACAGAGGTGAAAATGTTCATAATCACAGACTGGTCCGGGTTTGCCTCTGAAATGACAGGCAGTTTTGTAAAAATCACCATAAATTGTAGAAAAATCATATGGAGATGTGCAAGTAGCCATTTTAAAGCTAAGAGTTTGAACTACTTGCACCTGGAACAGTTTTGAAAACTAAAATATTTAAGTTGACCAAAACAGTCCGTGATTAACGTCCATCTTTTCTGATGTAATCTGTTAGAAAAAGTTTAATTGTGTTCTTGATGATTTTACTTGTATTCCCCCCTTAAAACTTAAGAAAAACATGTAAATGTAGGGGTATGAACTCACCTTATGTGTTATTAGAGGATGGATGTTGGAGAAGAGAAGTGTTCGACCCAAGAACACTTAGAAGATGCCTTGACGAATCGAGAACCTAACATGAAGGTGACGATGTTTGTGTAAGATTCTTATGATTTGAGTAGAAGGATGTGTAATAATCATAAGAAGAATGAATTATACTTACCAAGAGTGGAAGAAAGCTTGATAATCAGCCTTGGAAGTCTTGGAATTGAGAGAGAATGGTGAGAGAATTTGGAGTGTGATCCTTGGAGGAAAATAAGAGAATGAAAGAAGTATGAAGAGAGGGGATGGGTTTTTATACTTAGACAAGGAGTGGGGCTGGTCATGTAGTGGGTATGAGTTGGTCATGTAGTGGGTAAGAGCTGGTCATGTAGTGGGAAAGAGTTGGCCATGTAGTGGGTGTGAGTGGTGGCATGTGACATAAAGTAAAGTAAAGTCATCTTTCCACCTCAAGCACCTCCCCTACTAATTATTGGTATGAATGGCCCTAAAAACATGGGGATTACTGACATATAGAGTTCTAACTGTAAAAATAAAGTTTTTGGTGAAAATCCCGCGTTAAAATGATGAAAAACGGGCCTAAAACAAAGTCGTAGTCGAAAAACCGGAAACATTATGACACGCAAAAATGCATGTCGTCTTCTTTTATGACAGGGGCTTCCTTGATACTCATTGCGTGTCATCAACACGCGCGTCGTAAGGTTACGACAGACAAATGTGTGTCGTCTTCCTTTATGACAGGGACTTCGGTCCTGAAGCTTCAGTTTTGGGTCCTTAAGCCTATTTTACCCGTTTTTACCCCGTTTCAAGTGGTTTTTGACCCAGTTAAGGGTCGGGATGGCCCGAATGATTACAAAAATTTAAAGGAACTTTTGAGAGAGATTTGGGAGAGATTCGGGAGAGATTTGGGAGAGATTTTAATAGAGAGAGGTTGAGTGAAAGAGATTGTGAGAGGTTTCGTTTGTGATCTTTTTGAGTGTCCGGCTTCGCAACGAAAGGTCCATAAACCCCGTTAAGCCATGATTTAGTGTCTTACACAATCCCGATGATTGTGCAATAGTGTTTTATCGCTTTGGTTCGTTGTTTAGCACTGTTAAGGCTAAGGAAAATCAAACAAATGAATTTTTCAAATGATGTTTTCTCATTGAAATAGCGAATTGTATAATGTAAACCCTAACATACAAGGGTTAATGGAGTTGACCGGTTTGACTTGTTGACTTTGTTTGACTTTGACTTGACCGAAATTTGACGGTTGTCACATCTTGTCCCTAGAGTCCAGATCTATGACCTCATGGTCTATCTTGTAGTTTTGGTGGTGTTTGGATTAAGAGTTTGGCCTTTTTGGGTTAGGGTTTGAGGTTAATCCATTTAGGAAAAGTATTAATGGGTAAAGTTGGAAACTTTACCCTTATAGAAGTATTTACAGTCTAGATCTGGAGTATAGAGTGTAGATCTAAAGAATAAGGGCTTAATGCATTAAGAAGGGCTAACAGACTGAAAAACTCGACGAGTTCATAGAGGAACTCGACGAGTTGGGTCGAAGAATCCCGACTCTATTTAAAAGTAAGAACTCGACGAGTTGGAGGAAAACTCGACGAGTTGAATCGCGATTTCACAATTCTGTGATTCATGGGAACTCGGCGAGTTGAAGGGTAAACTCGATGAGTTGAGTCAACTCGGAGCGTTGACTTTGACTTTGACCTAGAATTGACTTTGACCATGGTTGACCCTAATGGGTTATGAGTATGAAATGGCAACTAAAGGATTGTTTGGTTCAGGGATTGAGTAGAGCTGATTTCGGGGCAGAGACATTTCAACTATCATCCGACATTTGAGCTGAGTTTCTTCCTGGTTTGAACGGGTCGAAGGCACCAATGCCGACCCGTGTATGTTATGTGTGCTGATTAGTAGCTAAGTGTGGGTAGGGCCCGTATCTTAGCATTACTTGAGTAAGGATATAGAACGGATTGGTAGATTTGGTTATACTTGTTGTTTGTGTGATACTTGTATGTGTTTCTTAGTTAGCTGAGTGTGGGCGGGGCCCGAATCTCACTATTAGCTAAGTGTGGGCGGGGCCCGTATCTCACTAAGCGTGGGCGGGGCCGTATATCATAGGGTGGGGCCCGTTATCCGAGTGTGGGCGGGGCCCAAATCTCCTCGAGTGTGGGCAGGGCCCGTATCTCCTAGTTGCATGTTATGTGTATGGTATGTGGTAGTTTGGGGGAAATTCACTAAGCTTCGTGTTTACGGTTTTCAATTTTAGTTTCAGGTACTTCCGGTAGCAAAAAGAAAGAGTTCGGGATGACTGCATTGCACACACCATGATGTTTAGCCTGTGATGTTTACTCTGATATCTTTGACATATGTTTTGATATGGATATACCGTTTATGATGTTTTGAGATACTATGACTTATGTTTTGATGAAATGTTTTGATAACTATGGTTTTTATTTAGTAATTAAAAAATGAAAATTTTGAGACCATATTTTATGAGTGTTACACGAAATGACATTAGTGCTCCACCACCACAATTTGTTAATAATATGTTTTCAAGCTGTAAGATTACTTCTTCATGATCATGGTGTCGTTATCATCAATGTGGCTCTTCAGAATAAGGTGATCTATATGAGATGCCTAGAGAGGATTATCTTTCGATATGCACCGAACAATGTTATATTAGGGCTTTTCTGTCAAAAATTTACAAAACTTCATGAATGGTCCTTATGATTGTAAAAGAAGATTTTACCTTCACATGGTTTGCACGCGTTCTGATTTAACAGACCAACAGTGACGAAGTTAGCCATAAGGATGATCCATTAAAATTTTTCAAAGCACATGGACCATCCTTGAAGACAAAAAAGTTTAGGACCAAACTTGATTTTTTTGAAAACCATAGGGACCATTTTTGAAGATTGTCTTGATTTTATTTGTAACTTTTTCAAAATTAGTTACAACAAATTGATCGAAATAAAGAAAAAAAATGGTTATGTTTAATAAAATAAAACATAAGAAGAGGCTGCTTTCTATCGTCTAATTGAGTAATTGGTATGTTTTGTTTGCTCACTTAAGAGATGTGTTTTAGTTTTGGTATTTTGATCCACTGGGGATTGTTTGTGAAAGAAAAAAGTCTTTGTGAAAACTGATAGGGGATTTAATTTTGAGCCTGCTTTAAAGCATGGTGTGTATGAAAGACATGTGTTTTATTTTTAGTATTTTGATGATTCAAACTTTAATTTAGATGATGTTTTCTATCTTTGAAGGTGAAGAAAATTTCATCATTTTACTTGTATTTTTTGTTTTTTTTTGCTCTTAAATTTTGAATAATGTACAAATTAGTAAATCCAAAACGCCAAAAACTTGTGAGTTTAGGGATCATATGTTTTGTTATTGGGTTTTACACTATAATGTGGTGAAATTAATGCTAAAGGAGAACAACCGGAAGGAGCTCAAAGTTGCATAATGAAGAGGCTCCTCTTTTGCAATATGTTGTCTATGAGAAGAATTAAGCCATAAAACTCAACTTAATTCATATGTTGCTATTATTTCGATAAGTAAAGAAAGGAGAGTACATCGATTAATATTATTCATATTAGCAGAGGTCAACTTGTGTACATACAAAGGACAATGTATGCTTTTTATTTATAATAAACACAAATTGATCCAAGAGATGCATTTTATTTTATGCTTTAAGAAGATAAGCATCAATATCCTTGATATTCTCGGCAGCAGTGTCTCTGCCCATGATAGGATCTGGAACCTCATCACTTGTTTTCTCATACTCACATTGCCATTTCACAAGGCTTCCTTCTCCCTCGGGAATCACCTCAATACTAAACTTGAAAGTCTTGTAGTATTCCATTAAATCCCCACCAATCACACTGTAAACCACTTTCTTCTTTGATTCATCAATTTCTTCTATCTTCTCTTTCCTTGACTTCCCAAATGGCATCCCTATTTTGTAGTAAACAAACATGTTAGGCATGATTACCATGCAATAAGATTAATTTATTCATGAACTATAATGTTGATACCTTCACCATAGTGAATCTCGCGGACAGATCCAAGGCTCCATCCATCCCCTTCAACAACTTCAATTTTTTCGTAAATGTTGGAGCAAACTTTAGGGAGGGTGGTGGCAGCATCCTTGATGCTTTTCCAGAACTTTTCTGCTTCGGATTTCACCTTGACTTCAACATCAAGCTTCCCTGTGGTTGCCATTAGAAAAAAGAAAGATGGAAGCTTTGTCAAACTCAAAGTCAATAGTTAAAAGTCAGACAAGTATGAAGATGGAATAGGAAGTTAAATGAAAAGTATATTGAAGGTATGTGAAATACCCATGAAATGGACTTGCTTTTATAGTGAGAATGGGGTTAAACTGCAATGTTAATTGGATAGAGCTAGTACACATTAATGTAATTTGGAATAATTCGATGCCGATTTCATCCCATTCAAGCAACTTAAATACATTATTTACATGGGCTATCAAAGACTAACGCGTTAACACTATAATGGGCTAATACAATATAATAAGTTAATAACAATATACAAAATAGTAATGCATGATAGTTAACACATACGTTAATCAAAAGGCTGGTATCAAATGGTGCATCCTTCTTTGAGGTTGAGGACTAAATAAGTCTTTTGCTTAGTTATAAACTTATAGCATATGCCGCTAAGAATTAATCAATTTTAAAATTGTGCTTTGTAATCTAGTAACAGTCTAAAAATATACTTTTTACACGTAACATAAAAGTTGTCTTTAATTTTAGTTTGACTTTGTAAATGGATTTATGATGACAAACAGGTAGAGGTTCCTAATTAACGAATGTGTTAACAGAATCAATGTTATCTTTAAGTATGTATTGTACATTGTAAATTCTATTAACAAATTTAATAACATATTTAATAGACGTACTTCATACATATATATAGTGTGGTTATCTTCTAGAAAATGAAAGAAATTGTGTCAATCGCGAGTAGTAAGTAATAATGTCTAAAACCATCCTAATCTAATCCAGCCGGTCTACATTTCGTCTCTATTAAGTAGCAAACAATCCCGATATTGAAAATTACACACCCTATTGATTATTGCGAGTTTTAATCTATTACATTTCCTATGAGACATTATTTAGATCGGATAAAAGTATATATTACATGTACATTCTTAAAATAAATAATCAAGTACCATTACTTGAAATTCTATAAACTAATAATCATGTATTTTATGTGAAAGCAAAATTGAAATTGCAGAATTTCGTACACGAGAGTGCAAAACTGCAAATGCATGGATTAAGCATCCGATGACCCAACTTGCACCAATGTCGGGCCGTCGCGTACAACCAGTTCTCTTGCTCGTTTGTGTAAATAAATCCAGCAACAGCACCATTGCATCAAGTATCGACACGTTGCTGACTTTGTCAAATGCATTAGTTAACAACTTTTACTTGGTACTTGAAGTCCTAGAATTTAGTTCCATTTGTCCATGTTTTCCCGTTTTTAATTTATTTATTTGCAGTGTACTTTGCATTCAGGGATATACAAACGAAAATTGCTCCAAGTTCTATATTTCTTCTTCTTGTTTCTTAGAAGGTTAGCCGTCTTGAACAGACTTCTATCGTTGTGATGCTATCATTCCCTACCTCATCATGCCTCCAGGAGGGTGGTGGCTTGTATTACAACTGACAGAGAGCAAAGGGTGTGATTTTGGTCCAAGTTTTTTATTAGCTATGAACAGGAGGTTCATTTAAATTGGTCGTGCCGGTGACTCCGTGAGCCATCGGTATTCCGTTGGTGTTTTTTAATATTTCCTATGGAAAAAAAGAATATTAGTTATACTATTACTATTTTTATAATAATAATAATAATAATAGTTATTATTAGTATAATTACTGATACAAACATGTGTATATGTGTATTTCTGTTATTATTAAATTATTACTTATACAAATACACTTCTTTATGCACAAACAACAAACATACACCTACATACACACATATACATATATACATACACATTTAAATGCATACACATACATATATACACAAACACTCACATATACTGTAACACCCCTCACCATGGTCTATTAGAAAACATTGTTAAGAAAAACCTCTTTAACATTAAGAGTTTAATTTGAAATTAATTACAGAATACGATCCTAATGTCTCAAAAAACACATTTGTAAATTTTTAAATAGCGAGTTTGTTAACAATAAAATATCACAACAAGGTTCAAGCTCAACACACATTATGTGGCCATCTTAAATTCCAAGCTAATCCTTAACCCAAGTTAGGGTCTTCAATTTGAGCACACATCAAAATAAGTTAGGCAATGGATTTATCTAATGAGTTACACGAGTTTGATTCATTTAGAGTAACGAATGATAATCCATATTACTTGAATCAAATCTCCAAAAACAACACATAGTAGTTCAAAACATGCAGAACACCTAGGTTCGATAATCCAAATAAAATCAAGGGTCTTATATTCCCAAAAGATTTACTACAAACAATAATAGTTTAAAAACACATAAAATTCGCGTTTAATAACCTAAATCAAATCAAATGGACTTATATCCCCCAAATATTTATAGAAAACAATATCATTTCCGAAAAAAAAGGGTGCAGAAATCCCACACTATGCAAAATGGGTAATTATGGAAATATTTAATAAAAATCAATGCATGCAAATAGCCCAAATTCATGCTAGTCTTAATAGTAAATCTCATTGATGGCTCAATAGGATATTTTGATGGTAATCCGTTGCTAAGGGCCATGACCCTTGTCCCGATGGCTCAATATGACACTTTGATGGTAATCTGTTTCTAGGGCTATAGAGCCACCAATCCCAAACCATACAAGCGGTATCGAACCTATACGCATGCACATGACGATTATCTAGAAATCCACTCACAACAACTCAACACACAAAAAGGATTCAAGGACTTGACCACTCAATTCACCCAACCTAGTATGTATGCAACATGTAGGATGCCAACATCACTTTTAAAATAAATACTAGCTTTTGCTATCAATTTACTTTCTAAAACTTATTTACATGAATGCAACATATATATATATATATATATATATATATATATATATATATATATATATATATATATATATATATATATATATATATTGTAAAGTCAACTAGCAATCAAGTTTATAAGAAAGAGAGTTTAAAAAAAATGTTAACAAGTAGGTTTATGTGCTCCCAATAAGTCATCTTAGTCCAAAGATTAACACAAATCATACTTGTCTTTATTTTGAATAGAATTCTCCAAGCTCTATGCTTCTCAATCAACACCTATGGTTATCATTAACATTAATAGGTGTCAAAAGACTAGTATTCGCTTCTAGAACATAAGTATCACCTAAAACTAATTATAAATGAATCAAGATCCCATTAAGTGACCTATTAAGCAATTTATTAAGTCCTTAACTCCAAAATATAAATTTTATAGTTTCAAACTATTCATTACGTAGAAATATGAACATAGGAGAAACGATGCATGATTTCGAGTATGTATGCAAAAGTTATGAACAAAACAGTTTTTGGAGACCAAGTATTAAATGATTGTAGAGCGGCAATTACGCATTGCGTTTTTCAAAGAGAATTTCTCCTTTTCCCTTACGCTTCACGTTCTCGTGTAGAACGTGTCGTGTTCTACACAACAAATTTTCATATTTAAGTTTTTATTTCTAAATTCACCCTTTACTTTACATATCTTTTCATTTTGTACCACTTTTATGGGTTCTCATGAATGTTTAGAAGATGTTTATCATATAAAACCCATCAATTAATCTATTAAGCGTTGAAGAAAAACATAGAGTCCAAGTGCCCATTAAGCTCTTAACCAAAGTGATTAATAGCTTAATTTTGTAATAGAACCTCTTACTAGTAATATGATCCATCCCAAAGCCATTAAATATTCAAATGAATGATTCCAAATGCATAATATCATGCTAAATATCATTATAAAGGATTGTAGGCTCTTAATATAAATATGAAATTACCATTCGAATCCATAGATTCCCAAATTGCCCTTATGGTCAAAAAATCCTTATGATCACCTAGAGATCAAATAATTCTTTATGTTTTGCATCCAAATCATTCCCAATGTATTAATTATTGATTTATAATAGCATTTACATATCTATCTATTTAAATCCACCTAGAAAAATCACAATTCAACCATGAAATCCTCAAATCCATATTTTTGCTATGATTCTCTCAGCCAAGTGAGTTTGTGCATCCATGATGAACTTATTTCTAACAAAAACTCAAAAAATGATCATAAAAATAAATTAGAGGACAACTTAACAACTTCTAAATCACAATTTGAGTTATAGGGTACATGTTTATATTTTTACCCAAAGACCGATTCCATCAAATGAATGATAGGATTGGGTTTAGAACCACATCGACCATGTTAAAAAAAAAGGTTAGAAAAAAAAACCTTCTCCATCAATTTGATCTAAAACTGAATTTGGGTTTCTATCCCATTTTCAAACTCAAAATTGGAGATGATTTAGTAAATAATTATATATTTCAAGCTCTAGATTACTTCAAGTGTTGATTCAAATGATGACTCCTTGATTGAATCCAACTCTAGATGCGGAAATCTCATGAAATTGCTATATTTCTTCTCTTAAGCTTCTCAATCATGATCTACCGATGAAATCAAGGGAAGAGAACATCTTATATTCCATTTTTCGATCTCCTCATAGTTTGTCTAATTTAACCCATGACAACTACTAACATCTTATAACTATGAAGGTGTTAACGTTACCTAACGGCCACGTTAAGTGTAACAAAAAATGTAACAGAAATGTTACATCCTTGGCTAAGACCCGGTCTTGGCCTAAGCGAGCCAAGGCCAGGGCAACAGTTCATTTCTCATCACATGGTAAGAACATTCCATGTGATCTTCTCATTCACTCACAACCAATGAGAAGGCAACAAATAGTCCGGGTGACGCCCAGAAATGACGTCACCTGATAGTTACTTAGCGTGAATAGCTCTCCCAGTAAGAGGAAGCCACGTTTCATGCTCACGAGGCACGGTCCCCATGACCCGTTAGTAATAGATACAAAAGGATCTCTTCCGCCTCAAGGAAGAGATCCATCTTCTCTCTTATGAAAATAACCCTCATATTTTCTCTCTCTCTCTCTCTCTCTCTCATAAAAAGCTAACTTGATCGTCGGAGTGACATACAGGGAGAACACGCAGTCGTCCTTTAACGATTCTTTTGTGACTGTGTTCTCAGGCAAGCACCCAAGTCGGATCCATCGTTCAGCATCCAAACCATCT